GATATATTTGACCACGCCCTAGGTCTCATAGATTAATTTACTCTAATCCACCTAAAATAATTTCAATTTGAGGGTAGGTTGGTAGCGATCCTGATGACTAATAAAACTGAATCGGGTATACGCGCGCCTCACGCTTGGTATTGCTGACGCACAAATATATAGCTAATAGAAAAAAGGTCTCATAGATTAATTTACTCTAATCCTGCCTATAATAACTTTAAGTAACGCGGCTATTGAGGATTCCCCATTGTTTCTCAAGGATCCCAGAATTATATCCAATAACTTCCGAAAAAAATAGATAATACATATTTTATCAGAACTCGAATTTTAGCTACAACCAACACCTACTTTGTAATTTTATATAATACTGTCCTGGTTCTCTGTATAATAACTTCGTTTTACCAGATACACTCTGACTTTTGGCGTTTCCTTACCATTTGCAAACAGCAGTGGAGAAACCTTCTGGGGTCGAAACTCATATATTGGATATCATGGAAATACCATAAACAATTAGATCCGAAAATATCATGGAAATATAATAAACAATTAGATCCGAAAATATTATGGAAATACCACAAGTAATCAGATCTGGAAATATAATCATGGAAATACTATATTAATCAGATCCAAAATATCATGGAAATACCATAAGTAATCAGATCCGAAAATATCATGGAAATACTAAAAGTAATCAGATCCAAATATACTATTGAAATACTATAAATAATCAATTTAGAAACTGAAATTACTTCAATAAATTTTTGTTTCTAAATGTATATCTTTATACTGATCTTAGAAACAGTTGGTACGAGTTAAGATTAAAAGCTTGATCTATAAATCTGTAATATTGTACTTACAGTTAAGTAGCTTTTTATATATGTACTTTAATTATGTTTGTAGCTCATTGTGTGGTATTAAGTTAATTGTTTTTACTTTTGGTGAATGTTATTTCCAAACTGAATCTTTTATTAAGCTTCATAACGTTTGTAATAACTTCTAATTTTGACAGAAAGGAAAGAAAGTAAGTTCTTTGTTAAAAGGAACTGTTCGCTGTTCACTGAAATACCGACACAACAATGTGTTTTCTTTACACATGTTTATAAATATGGTATAATGTTAATTAATAATAAAAATCGTATACTGGATAGCAACACAATTTGTTGATTTTAAATTGTGCTAACAGTAATTTAGACGTCAAACAAGAAAGAGCCCGTTAAAATAAGACAATACTAACAAGAGGGAATCCTCAATAGCCGCGGTACTTAAAGTTATTATAGGCAGGATTAGAGCAAATTAATCTATGAGACCTTTTTTTCTATTAGCTATATATTTGTGCGTCAGCAATACTAAGCGTGGGGCGCGCGTATACTCGATTCAATTTTATTAATCATCAGGATCTGTACCAGACCTCAAATTGAAATTATTTTAGGCAGGATTAGAGTAAATTAATCTATGAGACCTTGGGCGTGGTCAAATAAATCACTCGAAAGGGTTTGACCTCCCGAGTCCAAAACTGTAATAACATCTCAAATTGGCCAAGAGATGACGAAGCTATGAGCTAAAAGTTTGTACTTGAAAAAAAAACAAAAAAAACACACCAAAACTTAGAGCCGTCCTATGAGCTGCTATGCCGCGGTTAAAAATAACCTAGTTTTTAACGAAGACTATGTTAACAGCAGGTGTGTTTTTCCACATCCCTCCTAGTTTATCCATTGCGGTTCGAAATCAGACATGTGTAAAAATAGCATTTCAGATTCATATTTTGTCTACCACAAGTCACTGTCTAATATTAATAAGAAGCTTTTCGTTCAATACCAGCACTAATCATTCGAGCTGGACGATGAAAAAAAAAATATTCTTGAAACGCTATTTATATCTCCACTAAACTACTTTAAACTTTATGGTTTAAACGTCCAGCTCAACTGATGAGTTATAGTATTGAACGAAAAGCTTATTAGACAGTGATTTGTGGGAGACAAAAGATAAATCTGAAACGCTTTTTATTATACGCGTCGGATTTGGAACCGTAATGGAAAAGTTAAGACGTATATGGAAAAAAGTACCCGCGGTTAATGCATTTTAAAGCAATTATTAGGCCTATTGGTATTCCAGTGAGTCGCTGGCTTTTGGCGTTTTAACCATAACACACAATTTTGTACATTAATATTACTACTAGTTGTAAAACTAAGTAATATCATAGAAATTATCATGGAAGACGAAGAAGAATAAGAAGAATGTGTGTTTTCTTGTCATGCACAAATCTACACAGTTGGCTATTTGTGCTTTGTCCACCGTGAGTATCGAAAGTGTTATAAACCATCAGACTTATCGCTGGGCCACCATGCCGTCAGAAAATAGGCTTGCTTGTAGCATTAAAAGTCTCTTTATTAGCAAATATTTTTATGTCACAGTTAGGCTCAGAAAATAGCAACATTCTCACCTAGTGTATACAATTATACATATATCCTGGTATGGTTCAGGTATAAAGGCTTAGGTTTGACACTACAGTCTCTATACGCTTACGCAGAAGATAATCCTGCTTGTGTTCCTCGTACAATTCGCCATATCGGAAACACGGGTAGTTATTACAAAAACCAATTATTATCCTTCTGAAACCTACAACAACAACTATATCTTAAATAAAGGCCGTGGATGGCCTAGCAATTAGATCTGAGGTTTTTGCCGCGATGTTGCTTAACACACTCAACACTTTCAGCTGTATGTGCGTTATAAGAATGACAGTAAATATCGTTCAGGCTGAAATTGATCTTAGATAACACAATATTATAAGAAATATCAGTGTGTGTGTTTTTTCTCAAAATATTATTAATATTATTCTTTTAACAAAAATGTACAATTATTTTTAGTGCTCATAAATATATATTTTTAATTTGTTAAAAGAAAAGTAAGATTCAAAAACTCTAGTCAGTTTAAACTTCTCGCAATTTTGAGTAAAACTTCATTATCCAAGGAAAGAAACTACGCATGTCAAATTCTCGGAAATATGCAACACAAAATGACATATGACACTTTAATCAGAGTTGAATAACAAATAATATCATCCGGTTAGCAACAAGGGAGGAAAGAGCAGACATCGTATTGAAACTAGTTTCCTGGTAAGATGTCCATTCTAAACAGATTGACTTTGACTTTGAGCTCCACGTCAGCAAACGATTTCAAATCGCTCTGTCATATTGAAAACTGAGACGCGATTTCAGTTTATTCATTAGTGTTTTAGTATTTCGTTTCACTAAAACTGTGCAAATAAGAAATTGAATTATTAAATTAGAGATGACGTAGAAAGGATCTAGTTTCGTCTTTAGAAAAGGAAGTCCGGGTTTTTTTTTATCTATATGTTTATCATTAAAAATAACTAGGTCTTCAGTGTGTCACGTGTAGAGCTAAATATTTGTTTTCCATGAAATAAATCGATCAGAGTTTGTAGTATTTCGTTCCTTATTTTTGTTTCTATCACATATGACATATATCAACATTGCAAAGTAATTCAAGTGATTTAGCTAAGATGTTTCAGTTAGTTACTGTTTAGCTCAACTGTAGGCTCACACGTCCGCATGCCTATATTTTCACGATTAAAAGGTAAAGCTGGTTTAACTAAATCAGAGAAATGATAACAACTTCACGACAGAATGAGCTACGTACTTACATAGAAATTACAAATCAACCTGGCCATTAGTATCACGGTACAGAAATGAATCGTTGGATGTATGTTGCTCTTAACTCCTTATCGAAAAATATCAATCAATAAAAATAAGTTTGTACGAATTCACAAATAAATCTACACAAAATCAAAAGAGTTTAGCTTCGGTGGAAACCTATTTATAGCAAAACAAAATAAAAAAATGAACTCAGAAAATAATGTATTCTTAATTTCTTTTTTTAATTCAGTACATTCGGAAAAACTATTTGATAATGGTCATTTGCTCTTCAATATTTCTGCACATTAGTATTTATCAATACGTTAGGCTTACTAAACTTAAATTAGTGTGATATTTATATATATATATATTTTTTTTCTCAGAATAATTGCAGAATGATAATTCGTATCAAATATCTTGCATCAGTTTCAAACAGCAATGATCTAATGTAATAATCTTGTTGTTGTAACATAAATGTTTTTGATTGTCTTTCAAGGTAGAACTGTAAAAGTAATTTGCTAGCTGTCGTTTTCTGTCGTGTTAGGATCTTTGCGTTAAATCAAGTCT